AATTTTGTAGATTAATTTATTTTCTTATTATACTTCTTTATATTTTAATAAAGCTTATAAAAGATGGTTTTTAATAAACATAAAAAAAATAGTCAGAAAATTTTAAAATATTTTAAAATATCAAAATTATTTTAAATAAGTTTATTAAAATTTATTATTCAAGAATTTCACTTATAAAATATTGTTACATTCTGAAACAAATGATGTCATTGTATCAGAAAATAATATAAAAGGGGATTAAAGTAAATAAAATACAGTTTTATGAACGATTTTAATTATAGAAGCAATAAAGATTACAAAAGTGATAAGAGTAGCAACTTAGATCTAACGAGAGATATAACTCTAGATAGAGGTAGAGAATATATTCATATGTGTGAGAGTGTGATAGAAAAAAAAGCAATAAGATTTTTTATAAGTATAACTAGTTTTAAAAGAAGTAAATATGTTAATTTTTAAGATATGTGGCTAATGTGGAACTTCAGTCACATTTAGATGAATATGATACATGTTAGACATTTTAAGATGAAATAGTGTGACAATTCTATACATTTATAAGGATTGAAAATAGAGTCGTTGATATACAATGCAAGAGAAGAAAAGTTTAAAGTATAGTAGGATATTATACATACATAAAAAATTTAAGAATATGGATTGCTTGAAGGAGAAGTATTAGGGGATAATGAAAAAATTTAAAATATTTAAAAGAAATGATTAAGCCAAAAATCAAGGGTGTATATATTAAAGCATAACTTAGTAATTATGAATAAAGTAGTTGATCATATAACTAATAGAGAGGTAATTGAACAAAGACGAATAGGTGGTAAATTTTAATATAAGAATAAAGAGCAAGGCTTTAGAAAATTTAATTAAGATTATAAACAAAGAGAATATAGTGAAGATAAAAGGAATATAAATACAGAGGTAGTGGAAATTTATAAAGAGGAAACAGAAATAACAATACATACAGCAACAATATAATGTTTAAATGGTTGAACAAGTAAGTAATAAAAGAGACAAACAAATAATATCAGAAATAATTATAAATAAGAATAAAATGATTAAAGATATATTGGAAAGAGGTGTAACAGTTACATGTTTAATTGAAGAAAGGTGAAGGAATTAAAGTTAAAAATTGAAGAGCTTAATAATGATAGAAGAATATGTAAAAATACAAATGATAGTAAATTAGAGGTTTTATGAAAGGTTGAATTATGTTTTAAATTTGAAACAAGAGAAATTAGTGTAATAGTAAAATACTTGGTGAAGATTATTTAATTGGATTAGATTTAATGTAAAGTATAATAGAAGGAATTTAATTTATTTCCTATAAAAGATTTTAGTAGATAAAATTAAAAAAAGTGAAAGGTGATTTTAGATAAGGTAAATTATGAAATATGAGTTAAAATTGAACAATAATAAAGAAATCAAAGAGTTAGTGTTAAGATAAAATAGAAAATTAAGATGTACAAAAGATTACGAATTCGAGATTTTTAATGTTTATGAAAATAATAAGTCAATTGATATTTAGAAGAAAGGAAAAGTAAAAATACTAGAGTTAATATTAAGAATATTAAACCAATGGAGAAAGGGAAGATGTTACAATCATAAAACAAATGATGTCGTTGTTTCAGAAAATAATATTAAAGAATATTAAAGTAAATTATAAAAGTTTTATAAAAGATATAAATTATAGAAACAAAAGATTGTAAGTGTGATAAGATTAACACAATTTTGAAAAGTATATTTTTAAAAATCTAATCTAAAAATTTTAATGTATCTAAATAATTTTCTTTATATTTTTTAATAGTATCATATTTATTTTTTTAGTTTCAAACAATGACCAAAATCTAGTTTAAAAATCTCTTTATGTATGACAATTAAAAATTATAAAAGAAACACAATTTGAAGTTTGTATATTTTAAAGATACTATCTCTTCTTATTTATAAAATATGATATGTTTATATCTACGCTTTATTTTTTAAATTATTGTTATTTTTTATAAAATTGTATAAATATTTATTTATTCAATAAAGAAATTTTTATTATATATTTTTAAAACAATTAATTAAAACATTTGTGTTGTTTTTTCTAAAAAATGATTTATGGTTTAAATAATTTTTAAATTTTTTTTTCAAAAATAATATAGAATTTTAATGATTGAACATTGTTTTTGGATATTTATTGTTATATTTAATTTTACTAAATTTTTTAAATCATATTTAAAATTTTTTATATTAAAGATAGATCTTTTTAATTTATATAGAAAATAACTATTGGTTTAAAAATAGATATATTTATATTTTGAATATGATTTAAACGTTCAAAAAATTTAGACAAATATAAAATCATAAAATTAAAAGTATTAAACACTTTTAAATGAAGTTTTTTAAGTTTTAGTATGTATTTATAATAAATATTCGGTGTAAAAACAAATTTTAATAAGATGTTTTTTATGAATTATTAATATGGAACACAAAAGGTATTTGAAGCCTTGTAAGATCTTTTTTATATTGTAAAAATTGTTTCTGAAAAGATTTTAATTTTTTAAAAAAAAATAACAATTTTTTTTAAAAACAAACTAATAATATGATTAATGATGTATAAAAAACTAATATAATTAATAACATGTCTATAAATTTTTGATGATTTTAAAGGTGTTAAAAATTAACTAACTTCTTCTTAAAACAATATTTTGTATTTTTAAAATATTGTCAAAACTTTTAATAAAATACAAACGTTTTATATTTAAACTAACGTTTAATTTTATAGTATTTTTGTTTAATTTCAAGAATAGAAGTGTCTAAGATTTATTATCGACAGTTCTATCATTAATTTTTATTATATTATTAGTTTAATTCTACTCATCTTTTAATCTTAATTATACATTAAAATATAACTATTATAAATTAATATATATAATATCATAAGTGAATTAAAAAATTTTAAAAATATTTTTATTTTTCGAGGTATTTGAATTATATTAATAAGTTTTTTTCAAAAAGAAGTCCCAATTTTTACTGTTTGTTCTTATTTTAATATCAATAAAATTATTGATTGTAAAATAAGACATCACAATTCTTTAATTTATTGATAGAAATTTTTTGATTGATAAAAAAAGATTTATAGTTAGTAAGATCACTGTAAGAAAAATTATTAAAAATTGCTTAAATATTTATGAGATAAATTTAAAAATATTTTCCTAAATTTATTTTAACTATTAGTTTGGTATGAATAATATTTAAATTTATAAAAATTATTGTTTTTTTAATATAACATTTTTATTAAAAATTTATTTATACATTTCAATAGTTAAAAACCTTGCAAATGAAAAATTAATATTAAAAAATCTTTTCAAATTTGATACCATTAATGAAAATAATAATAATGAAAAAGTTTTTTTAAGAAAAAATATTATTATAAAATATTTAACTCATTAAAATTAGAAAATTTGATAATTATATTATCAAATTGAATAAATCAGACGGTAAAAAAATCTTTAAGTAAATTTTGTAAAAAATTGTATATGAAATATACCCATAAATCCACCATGAAATAGTCAGAGTTTAACATAATCAACTTTTAAGTGATTATAAAAAGATTTTGATTTTTGAGAGTAAGTCAGGAGCAACTCAAAGTAATAATAAATATAAATAAATGTTCAATTCATATATAAAAAATAAAAATGAATTATTCTTAAAAGATATTTAAGAATAAGATGATCAAAAAAATCCATTTCTTCATTATTTGAAAAATAAAAATTTTAAAAGTTTTAATAAAAATAAAATTTAAATTCTATTGAAAAATCGGATCAAGTCTGAAATTTTCCCCCCGATAATAACAACTCGGAAATTTTCCCCCTTTAATAAAAAAATAAATAAAAATAATAAACAAATTTTATTCAAATCTTAATAAGTTGACTAAATCTTCAAATTTCTTATCATGACCAATGTTTGT